ACATATATAACATATTAATTCCTCTGAAAGTGAGTGTCGCGCGTGCGGGTGTTCTTTTCTAAACTCACTTACCTCACCCCACATTTATTTATACACCAATTATTACATTAACTAATAAAATGTGAATACACTCTCTTTGCCTTCAACTTCAAATTTTTTTTAGGTTTGATTTGAGAATTAGTTTTGATATTAAGGGGTTTTAATTTCTTTCTAATTAAGTTATGGAATATTGAACCATAATTTTTTCTATTAAATTCAGTGTTAATTACTATTAGATTAATTAACTATTGGTACCTTCAACTTAAAAATAATAAAACTAGTATTTTTACATTGTAAATAAATAAAATTATTTATTTATTTTATTTATTGAAAATTATAATATTTATAAAAACTTTTCTTTTTCTTTTGATCTAAAGGAGGCATTTTTTCCTTAGGGGCATTATCATCTGGCCATCTTTAACTAATAAGTCAAATATTTCGTCATATTTTGTGCCATCGAAACTATATGCTTTCTTTGAGAACCCATCACTATCCTTTTCAGATTCAGTGGGTTCTTCCCATTTGAGGGTGTTAACAGTCTACAAGAATATGGTGGTCATTGCTTTAATTCTGTTAGATCAATCTCGCTCTCTTCGACAAGTACAGGGTCATTAGATGTCTCTGGATCGTCATCATCCATTTTGACATATGCTACCCTTTCTCTTTGATGATTTTTATTCGCCTTAGCTTTTTCAGCCTTAAGGCGTTCCACCTGTTGAACTCTATCGGCCAATTGGGCCATATCTCTCAGGTATTGGGTATCTAATTTCTTCCTAATAGAATAATCTAGACCACCTGCAGCCATTTCAACCAACTCATGTTCAGGCACTTGTGTGAAGCATTTGACTTTGAGTAATCGAAATCTGTTCAGATACTCATCAATTGGCTCAGTGAACTTCTCTTCACGTTAGCCAGTTCTTTCAAATTTATTTTGGTTTGTCCCATATAGAACTGTTCATGGAACAATCTTTCCAACTGATTATAATTATGGATCAAATTGGCTGGGAGTGTGATAAACCAAGTGAAGGCATTTTTGGTTAAGGAACTTGGGAAATACTTAATCCTAAGATTCTCATTATTTGAGATTTCCCCAGCCTCTATCAAATACCTTGCCACATGTTCGACAGTGGACTATGTCGTATCCCCTGAAAACTTGGTGAACTTTGGAACTTTCCACCTAGGGGGTAAATCTGATTGCAAAATATAATCTGACAATGGAGATGTAAAGTTTGGCCTATGAAAGACAATGTTTACTCTGTTATGTGCAATGATTCTTTCGATCCTGGCTGTCAAATTATTATCTACTGCATGGTTGTGGTGTCGAACCTGCTGTATTACTTCATTAGCATTTTGGTTTCTATTTACCACAACTATACCTAGTTCGACAGCTCTTGGGATCTGTGGGGCAACTCTGGGTACTTCGACCCTAGATTGTTCGACTCTATGGTTCATCCCATCTGACTGTGGATTCTGGTTAATGGTCATGTAATCCTCTAAGACCACACCGTGATTTCCTCTTATCAGCTCTCTTTGGGGGTGTCAAATAGGTTAATAAACCCCAAAAAATTCGGCCATGCGCGTCATTTACGCCGCCATTTGCTGATTCGACTGGGTGATATTTTGTATTAGAGGATTAAGTATTGTACTCAATGTTTGTGCCAACATCTGCACCATGTCATGGTTACTCTTATCCATTTGTTGCCTCAAAATTGTTGCGGAAGCATTTGTGGGGCTTGGTATTATATGAGACATCCCTCCTAAGAGTTGGTTTCTACCCAGATTTACCATACCAGTTCCAGATCCCTACAATGGCGAAGATGCACTTATCAAAGGTTCTGAAAATATGGATGAGGCATTCATAAGGCTTTCCATTTCAGCGCTTGGCATACCATAGGGTTGGTCTCGACTCATCCAGGCTGTCGAAAATCTTGGAAGAACATAGGGTCGAACTCCCAGATTTCCCCTTGGTGAGGGTGTTCCTAGTGGACCCCTAAGACCTATATAAGAAAGTATTGGTCCTGTTTGTGCAACTGTCAATGCTGGTGTCGAACCAACCGTTGATGGCATAGTTTCACTAACTGTTGGTATAACCGTAGCTCCATTGCCAGGAATTGGTGGAGGCATTTCTCCACTACTTGGCTGATTAGCCATTCTCCTATTTCTTCTCCTAGGTATGTACTCTTTGGTGGTTGTTTTGCCACTTCTCAATAACATACAACACTCTTTAAGAGAAAGGAAATTACTTAAAGCATTTATGATAAAACTGTTTTTATCAAAGTTTGTAATATAAAACAAAAACTTAGCAACGTCCCACCGGGTGTGCCAATTTATTTACCGTGAAAATTGGTAAACAACCACTGATCTTCCAAAAGGATTATTTTGGTTACTTACAGGATCGATCAGTTTGATCCTAGGACATATGCTAAGTATTTTTGGGTTTGAATAGGTTTAGATGAAAAGGTTCGACAAGACATTAAGAGTAAAGGCAAGATAGAGGTAAAAAGAAAACTTGATAAAAACGTAAGTAAAGTAAATTTGCAGTAATTTAAAAGTTTGTAATGATAAAGTTTGCAGAGAAATGTTAAATGGCAATAATTGTAAAGAAATGTAAAAGACTTTGATTGCAATAAAGTATGGTGACTCAAACGTACACTTTCAATATTCTTTCTCTCACAGCGGATACTTGAATAAAATTGAGTGACTTGTACCATAAGTTGAACACACTAAATTTTACACAAATTTCCTATATTTATACTGGTAATAAGTAACTGTCGAACGGTTGCTTCGTCCCAGAATGAGGACAAGTGTCCTCTGCATGTTCTTCGATCTCTATCTTCACGCCACGTTGCTTTTCTTAGCTGCCAAGCGAACTGACTTTCCCTCCTTTCATCAAATTCAAAATCCACTTGCTGCTAATACAAGAGCCTCTCGGTCGAAGACTGCCTTTAACTTAGAAAATTCTCTAAGTGTTTTCTCCTTCTTAACAATGATGACTTCGACACAACCCCTTTCATAGGATCTTTTATTGAAGTATCTTCAGCTTAGATTTCTTCAATCTATTTTTAGCCAATAAGGCCAATATGTGTGAGTGTCGAATTTAGGAGCTAACAATGATAAGAATAAAATCAAACATAAATAACCTTAATTTTCAAGATAACATAACTGAAACCAATACACTTTGTACACTTCACCTCTAGGGTAACCTCTCTTCGTTGCCTTGTGATACTAATGGTCACGTCCCATGAAAACGAGAATACTTTAGCAAAGACCATCAGTTAAACAATATCATCATGGTCCCTTTCGAATAAAGATCATAATCCCTCGATGACCCTTCGAGTTGCCTACAAAATGATCTAGTCCCTTTGATGAGCCTACAAGAAAAATGATGATAGTCCATTCGAATTGCTAAAGTATCCTTACATGTTGCCTTCTATGACCATACGACGATCCTACGCCTATCCCTTCATATCCAATAGATAGGGCTACCTACCAACTAATGGTGTGGATAATACTATCTCTAACGGAGAAGAAAAATAACAAGAACGACCTTTAGTGGGTAAGACTCAACAAATTGCTTGCTCATAACAGTTTCAAACAAACAAATTCATTTTTACACCTCACGTTTCAAAACAAATATTAAAAAAAACACTTTGTATACATTCTTGAGGACTGATACAAGAATTATTACAAAGTCCGCCTTACAATTGGCATTTAAAATATTTTCAAATCACACACACATAAAACAAATATAAAGTGAGTTAAGCAATTAAGAGCCCGTAGATAACTACAGATGAAAAGGGTGCTAACACATTCCCTTTTCATAACTTTACCCCTCCCCCTCCCCCCCCCCCCCCCCCCCCCCCCCCCCCAAACTCGAAATCTATCAAAGATTTTTCCTGTTCTTTTCACCTTTCCTCATTGGATAAAAGAAAAGTCGGTGGCGACTCTTGCTAACCGCAATATTTACGATAAAACATTAAACAAGTCAGTTCTCCCACCGTATTACAAAACTAACGACTCTGCTGGGGAATAATTAAAAGAGAGGTTACCTTAAGAGTTTAGATCACTTTACTTGCTTAAATTGTGTGCTTTGTCTGCTTTAACTTTAAGGGTTTGTTTGGGTTTATTATTTGAAAGGTCCTACACCCGGATCTAGGGATGCCTTAGGTAAGTAACAATAGATCATGAAAATTGTACGGCGTAGACCGATGACTACAGCTAGTGCAACATTTTAATTTATACTAATATTCCTTGAGTCAATCAAAGATAACATTAGACTTCCGTATGATATCATTAACACTAATTTACTTTTAATGCTAAAATTAGCAAGGAAGAAAACAATAAAAGAGATGATATGACTCATAATGGAAGAACGATAAACAACATTCTCATAACCCTAACATCCTTTAAAAAGGGATCTATAAAATCATATACACATAAATGACAATATAACTGTCCATATGTTGGAAAAAAAAACTCACTTGAAAATATAACTAAACCAAATTGGGGAAATTTCAAATATTAATAAAATCTCTTTATTTTAAAAATAAAATAAGAAAAAGGATTATATTGATTTTTACTAAATAATAATAATTATATTGATTAACATCACTCAATTGCAAAAATTTATTTCCCATTTTATAAACTTGATGAAATGACCATGTTAATGTTAAGAAAGTGAAAAATAAAAATGATCATCCATATGGTAACTTTAATAATGTGTGTAAAACAAGGACGTGTGAGTTTTATTTTATTTCCCAGAGCATTATGGTAACTTCAACATAAACCGGCGTTTAGCTCTGTGAAGGAAGCAACCCACCCAGTCCCTCTTGACTTTTGAAATTTCAGCAAATACCAACGCTACTCCGATTTAATCAATTTCAATTTTAAACCCCAAAATCTAACTACCACTCCTCACTTTTCCGCTTAACCCAAACGCGCTTATTTTCAACATCCACAAAATGGTTTCGTACATCAACATCTTGCTCTACGGCGTCGGAGGGTTAGTCGTCGCCGGCATGGCATTGCTCGTCGCGTTTCAGGAGAAGCTCGTGTACGTTCCGGTGTTGCCGGGACTCACCAAATCCTACTCTATCAATCCCTCTCGTCTACGACTCACTTACGAAGATATCTGGCTCTCTTCTTCCGATGGCGTTCGGCTTCACGCTTGGTTCATCAAGCTTTTCCCTGACTCCAGAGGTTCTGAAACGTTTTCAATTTTTTCTCTCAATTTCGATCTGATTTTAGGTTTTGGTTATTTGGCCTTCGTTTCTATGAATTGTTATTTGAACTGGAATCAAAATTGATTTGATTAAGTATAGATCGAAAGAGAATACGTTATGATTTGGTGCGGATTGAATGATTTGAACACTATATTGGTTGAATTCAGGTTCATCGTTCAAAAGTGTGATTCAAATTTTGAGTGATTTAGTAATTTAGTCCTTGAAATTGTAATTATAGTTCAATTTAGTCCCATAAATTTGTAGAATAATTGTTTAGTCCCTCAAATTGAGTGTGTGTTTGGTTCTGTGTTGACGAGAATTGATTTCTGAGTGAATTGAATTTGTAGAATTGATTCTTGTTAAAAGTGAGTTGGATATAGCCTATGTTTGGAATTTTTGAAAATCGTGGTGGTACCGCAGGTTGGTAAAAGCTACCTTTGTTAGCTTCTGAAAAACCACAGCAGGAAGCATGTGCAACGTAAGGTGGCGGTGGTTCACCTTACTTCCAAACACACACATAAAGTGATTTATGTTTGGATGCATTTATGTAAAATTGAGTTGAACAATAAATTTCAACGTGTAAATCAGATTAACTCAAAACCTACAAATTTTAACTTCAAGTAGAATCAATTCTAGAGGCAAAATCAATTCTACTTTAGAAGAACCAAACACTTCAAAATCATTCCAAAATTAATTCTACACCTCTAGAATTGCTTTTGGCTCTTCCAAAAGCTAAACCAAACACACAGTGATTAATGTCAATCAATTTAGTCCTTTCTCCAAATTTAGCACCACAATATTAAAGGTTTTATGTTTGTCTTTTGATGGATGCTTACAAAAGATGTATCTTGAAAGAGGGACTAATTTGTTATTCAGTAAATTTGAGTGGCTAGATTGCTTGGCTGCTACAATTGAGGACCGAAATGATGATTAATTCATTAGTAGTTGTGATGCTTATTTGCTATGAGAACTGCAAACACATGTGCTCTTTGAACTGTGTAATGTAATTCATGTATGTATGATTGTTCTAATTTAGTTCTTGTTTCTTATTTTCCCTTGGCAGGACCAACCATTTTGTTTTTTCAAGAAAATGCTGGAAGTATCCTGGTTGTTATAGATATTAGGGGTTAGGTTGTGCTTATTGTTTCATGTTATCTATATTTACATGATCAGGTTCAATATGGTTTTGAAGGCCTTGACCAATGGCTTTTAGATATTGCTCACCGCCTGGAAATGGTTCGCATTATGTTGGACAAGTTACAATGCAATGTTTTCATGCTTTCTTACCGAGGGTATGATCTGCCTCGACACCTTAGTCTTTTTAACTTTTATGTCCAGCTATGTGTTATTGGATTTATGCATTTGAACGAAATTTACTTGTTACTTTATGACGAAGTTGGCACTAAGGCGTTATTGATTTTACAGTTATGGAGCAAGTGATGGATATCCTTCCCAGCAGGGAATTATTAAGGATGCTCAGGTATGCTGTTTGATTGAGATCCTTGTGTATTTATTGGTCTTCAGACTTCTTTATTGTGATTTCTTCAATTTTATTACCTCCTTGTGCCCAGGCTGCATTGGATCATCTTTCTCAGAGGTCTGATATAGATACATCTAGAATAGTTGTATTTGGACGATCACTTGGGGGTGCAGTTGGAGCTGTACTAACAAGAAATAACCCTGACAAGGTACCTCCGGTATACTATGTGTATCAGTTTTTTTTTTAAAATATAAGTTTCACGCTCTCCTTGGAGAAAATTGATATTTTATTTTTTAATTTTAGTTGTCTTCTTGGTTAGATATCATTCCTTTAGAATGTCAATACTGTATGAATTAATACCGAAAGCATTATATAGGTAGCTGAGTTCACAAGTGACTGCATATATCAATGTTGTATAATGTAACTCCAAATTTCTAGTTTTCTAAGGTTTTTCTCTTGTCGTAGATAGATAACTCAACTAAAGATTATAAACATGTGAGAAAATAAGTTTGGACTTGTTGAATCAATCAATCTTGGTTTAGATTATTAAGTGTGCCAGTTTTATTGTTTTCTCTCCAGTACACATGCCTAGGAAAAATATGTTCCTATTAAGATTGTAGATTTGTTAGTAGAACTTTGCTTTTACAGCAAATCACTGCTATCAATCAATTCCTTGAGTAAGAGTATGGATTAGTTATGTATAAGAAGCTTTTGTTCGTTGCTCTTATGTGTTGCAAAATTATAAAGGAATCCCTTACTTGAGCTTTTTTTCTTTGTTATGTTATATTTATATCACCAAGTGTTGGAATTTCCACCATAATTGCGGTCCGCCTCTAGTTGCCTTAATTGCAGTCCGCTCCTAGCCTTAATTGCGGCAATTGGCTTGCCTTCATTGCAGCCCCCAACACCTTCATTGTGTTGGGTTTGAAAGGGGGCTGGATTTAGTCCCACATTGCTTAGAGATATGGCATGTGTTGTGCTTATAAGTGGGAGCAATCCTCATCCTACAAGCCGGTTTTGTAGGGGATGAGTTAGGCTCAATCCAAATTTTGAGCCTATCCTAGATCACTTTGTTGGGCTTCCCGCATCGTCCACGCTTCGGGCTCATTGAGGTTCGAGCGTGAGAGGGTGTGTTGGAATTTCCGCCTTAATTGTGGTCCTTCCCTAGTCGCCTTAATTGCAGCATTTGGCTTGCCTTGATTGCAGCCCCCAACTCATTCATTGTGTTGGGTTTGAAGGGGTGGATTTAGTCCCACATTGCATAGAGGTATGACCCGTGTTGTGTTTATAAGCGGGGGCAATCCTCACCTTACAAGTCGGTTTTGTAGGGATGAGTTAGGCCCAACCCAAATTTTGAGACGAAGCATTTTACTTACTAGCATTATTCTCTTCGGCTTCCATAATGCATAAATAAGATTCCTTGCACAGGTTATTAAGGGGCCAATTTTTATGCTGGTTTTGAGAAGTATCAGCATGATTTTTCTATAGTTAAAAAAAATTATGTAAAATCAAAGAGCTTCTAAAATGGACTCTAAAGTTTTGTTTTCAAAATAACTCCATATTATTTTCCTGGCCCGGGTACAGAAAATTCTCCTTGATTGCTTTGATGTGTATTTGATGAAGTGAAATTCCAGGCAGAGGCTTTTACCTGCAACATGTTCAGAGCTTTCTTATTTTGACAACTTTTTTATGTTTAACTACTTTTGGAAATTGAAACTAATTTAGGGCGAGTAATCAAAATGAAGAATGATTTGGTGCAATCTTCTAGTCCGAAATTTAGCTAAACATCCCCGTATTGTTATTATTGGCAACTGTTTGCTTGCAAACCTTTTAATCTACAATTTTTTGTTGACCTTTCTGCATTTTAGGTTGCTGGACTGATACTTGAAAACACTTTTACATCTATATTGGATATGGCCGGAGTTTTGTTACCGTTTTTGAAGTGGGTTATTGGAGGCAGCGGTTCAAAAGGTCCGAAGCTACTCAATTTTGTTGTACGTTCTCCATGGAGTACTATTGATGTTGTTGGCGAGGTGAGGGATGATGGATACTATTACCAACTTTTCCCCTTTATTTTTCTGCTCATCTGATTAGGATTGTGTTACTTGGGGATAATGAGTTATATTTTGTATAATCAACACAGATAGTTGACTTTAAAGATATTAATTTTAATCTTTTAATTTATTTTGTCTCTAGAAAGAAAATTTGCATTGTTTTATTTCTTTTATAATTCTTTCGGCCTCGATTTATGGGTTTGAGCATTACCTTTTTATTATTGGTTTAATTGCAGATCAAGCAGCCTATCCTTTTTCTTTCTGGATTGCAAGATGAGATGGTCCCCTCATCACATATGCAAATGCTATATGCTAAGGCAGCTACTCGTAATAACCAGTGTCTTTTTGTGGAGTTTCCCAACGGCATGCATATGGATACTTGGCTGACTGGTGGTGATGAGTACTGGAGAACGGTTCAACAGTTTCTTGAAAAACATGCTCCAGAGAAAAATGAAGACAGATCATCCCCAAATGGAAACGGTAATTTTTGTTCATGCTGTGTTTCCAAACCGAAACGGATGGGTTAAGAAAGTGGAGTAGCTTCTGCTTAATTAATTGCACAACTTTTTTTTTGGTGTGGTTTTCCTTCTTTTTTGTCTGTTCCTCTTTTTATTGGGATCTCCCTTTGTGAGTCCATTGTGCCATCCACACAAACTTCATGTCGCCATTGTTTCGATAGTTTATGACGCCCTTTTTAGCATTAACTGCTAACAATTTCCTTTGATGCTCTTGTTCAATTCTTAATTGATGTTTTAATACTGCTGCCAGATGCTGGGGCTAGGTGATTGGCTGACATTAGATTATTGCAATGATACTAATTGGCTAACTAAGGATTCAAACAGTTTCTGCCCTTTGAAGTTGCAGCCCGTAAGAGCCCTCTGTGAAATGATGTTTCCTGCTGGGACCTGCCGCGTCACTTCAGGCTATTTTATTGGACAATTTTGGTTGGATTGTGGTTTTCAGAACTTGGAAGATGCCCAGACAATTTGCAGTTCCTTTTGCTATACTACATTTTGGATGCCTAATCAAATACTACAAATGTCATGTAGAATAATAATTTATTAAAGCCTATACACGTGTATGCTGCTATTAATGAATGGGTTATTGTCTTTCTTACTAATCCAGGCTGAGACAGTGATGTTGATTTCTGTCTGTTAGTTTCTAATTTCTTAAATGTTCATTTTTCAATTCTCTATAGTTTGAATGCTGTTGTTATGTATGAGTTAAGATCTCGTGTGTAGTAGGTTTAAACGAGTTTATATTTGCTGGTATGTATTGGTCATTTTTTGATAATAAAAAACTCGTCGAAGAAGGGCGTGAAATTAACTCGTGTAGTAAGTTTAAACGAGTTTATATTTGCTGGTATGTGTATTGGTCATTTTTTGATAATAAAAAACTCGTCGAAGAAGGGTGTGAAATTAAAGTGTTATCAAGTTTCATGAACCAATTTTGAAACATGTTCCTATGTAAGAAAATGTGCACATCCAGTTTATATATTTCTAGGTAAAATACATGACATTGGTTGTAAAATAAAGAACAAGCCCTTTACAAAAATTTATATCTACATTCATTATAGTTAACCTATTCTTATAGATTCATTTGGTATAATGAAATTGGGATTTCTTATATGTGGATTGAGTACTCCCAATTCCTTCCATTTTGCGCCAGTACCAAATATACGAGATGATATACTCCACAATGTGTCTCCAGGTTGCACCTTTGTGGTGGTAACCTGAGCACCAAATTTAGAAACAGCCTTACACTTCATCAATGGATTCTTATTGCTTTTGCTTTTACTCATTCCATTAGCAATCAACCAACGGGAACCAGACTGTTGCTGTTTTGATGTACCCCAAAGCTTCTTTTTATGGGACTCAAGCTTAAGACCTGCAACATGGACTTCTGTAATCCTGAACTGAGCAATGCCACTTTCTTTAGTACTTCTCTCCTCTTTGTTTTCTTTCATGCCTACCTTTGCTTTTATTTCACACTCATCATCCTCATCACTATTGTTCCCTACCTCGGACACAGTCAAATAAATCTTTTGTTTTGGTGGGACCAGCACTCTCTCGACTTGTATAAGAGCAAGCATTGGTGTTCCAACTGGTTCATAATTTCTCAGAGGATCACGAAGTTGCACCATTAGTGCTACTGTGAAATTGTTTCCCAGCAAACCACATTTCCTGCTGTGATCTTTGCCCTGTTTCTTCCTTCCCTTTGAACTCTCACGAACTACATCAAAAGAGTTGGCATGATGGGAAGCAAGAAGTTTGCGAGTACGCTCACTGATATCATCTATATCATCAATCTCACCCGAATCCAGTTTCATCCATTCATCAAGAGTTAATGATAATCCCATTATCCCATCGACTTCATCATTACTGCATTTACTATCTAACAATTGCAAAGCAGCAGCTCCATCCAGGCCAAGAGAACCACCAATGTTAACCCCCTTGTGTTGGAGACCAGGAGGATCTTTAAAGGATTGTTGTGCAATGATGTTTGATGGGGCATCCTCTTCCGACATCCCATATTGTATTTTTAAACCCTCCAATGAAAGTGCTTCAATTTTATCCATAGCCAAAGGAGCAAGATCTTCCAATGAAAAAAAGCCTGAACCTCCCTGGTTGCCAATTGAACTTGAAATAAACTCATCAGACTTTAGTCTAGATGGTGATCCTTTCATGTCCCTTTGCGCGCAGGTTGAACCATTCCGTGTCACCAAATCATGTTGCAGATGCCATTGCCTACATAGAGCCGTAAAAACTTGAACAGTCGATGAAACACTTTAAAGGAATAATTATGATTATCCATAATCTAACACAAGTTTTACTAATAAAAAAGAATAGACAAACCTGTCTTTTTCCTCTAAGCTTGACATGGCTTCCCATGATATTTGTTGCATTGTCTTCCCTGTGATATCTTCCAGAGGCAAAAACTTGTTTGCCTGCATCGAAAGCTTTTCAATTCCAACAGATGCCAAATACTGCAAAGTCTCCATTATCCCTGAACCCATTTCTGCAGGCATAACAACAGGGTTGGAAACTTGCATGATTAAGCTCCCGCCATTTTTAGAATTCATAAAAAGCGAGGGATTCATAGACCTTACAAATCCCCCATCTTTTGTTTGGAGAAAAGGACCAAACCCTTCTGCCAGAGGAGGTAATCTAGGAGGTTCTGCAGGTAGATGGTGCACTGGACTTTCAAAACCAGCAAAGTCTTTTGGTGAAGAATGCTGAAAAGCTTCCTCATTGAAACCCCATTCACGCATTAAGGCTTCTGTTTCCAAGTCTTCAAGTATTTGTCCCTTTAGTTTTCTCCTCACATCCTCGAATTCAACCCCTTCCTGCAGATCATGTAACAAGGATGGTGACTTAATACCTGTAGAGAATTCCCCCTGATCAGATTCATAAGAAGCATCATAACTGCCATAATCTCCTTCGTCATCATCATCGTAACCTATTTCCACATCAAATAAAGAGAAGCCCTCAGATCCAACTTCCTTCTCAAACTGTCTTAAAAGGCGCTCTCTCGGAGATTCAGGCTCACTTTCAGAACTAAAACCTGTTGGGCTATTGTCTACGCCCAGCGTACTAAAAAATTCACTGGCAACTTGTTCGGTGGCATCATCCAAGCTGAGTGACTGGCTAAATTTACATTCAGATGTGACTTCCATAATTTTAGGAGATTCCATTGCCGCTGTCTCCCATTCCGAGACACTATTAAAAGCCGATTCTATTTCTTGCATGAGAAGTTCTTTCGTGCATAACTCAACCTTTTTGTTAGAAAACTCATGTACCACAGAAAATTCCTTAGAACTATCAACAATGGATTCCTCCACTTGAACATGTTCATTTGGTGAAAACTCAACACCCTGATCAACAACAGAAAATCCATCATATTCACATTTCTCTTTTAAAGACTCAACTGTCTTCAAGTTTTCTTGAAACACATCGAATTTGACTGGCTCGAGATTCTCTTTTAGTACAACAAGTTCGTCTTTCTTGTCAAGGGGACTACATGCATCTTCATCGTGAAATTTCTTAGGTAATGTATTTGTTGAACTGGCCATTGCTGATTTTGGCCATGTCAATACCTCATGAAGATCCTTCACCTCATCTATAACCCGAGCCGGATAATGACAAAAATTCACATCCGTTTCGCTCAAAGCCAAACAATTTTGCCTCGAAGTCAACACATTAGGAGCCAAACTGTTGTTATCACGAACCACCATATACCCAAAACTCACATTCATCACAGCACCTTTCGCCTTTCCCGATAACTTAAAACTCGTACTCCATTTCCCCGAGCTTTTCTCCTCTTCAAGATCCTCCAACGAAAGCGGAAGTAGCCTCGTGATATCCAAACGCTGACTCCCCAAATCAATTTCCGGAACACCAATCACAGAAACATAGAGCAAAAAATGCTTAGCTTCATACTTAGCAGAATTATTAAATCCACTTTTACTTCCAACAATCGAACAACTACAGTTCAAAATATCTTCAAACCTACAAACACCTTCGATCACTTTGGCCGGAGGAGTAACCGAATGTTCATCGCGCCGTTTCCAATGAACACAAAGAGTATAATCATTGAAACTCGACGGTAATCCTTCAATCAAATGAACTTGAACAGAAAAACAACAATTCAATTTCTTACTCCTGCTAAACGAAAGTGCTCTCAATGGCTTCCAACTCCATATAGATGATTTCTTATCCTTTTTCGAATTGTTATCTTCTTTATCAACTTTCCAATTTGGATCATTTTCTATGGACTTGGATGATGACGATGAATTCCTAGAAAGGTTGTTTGTTATAGTTTCAACATTGTAATCATCTTCTTCATCGCCTTCAACAATTGGCAACATTATTTTTTTTCCGTGGAATCGAATTGAATTGAATCGAATAAGATCAAACAAAACATAAAACCAAAGGATTCATGATTCATGAAAAGGAAAATGTAAAAAGAAAATAAAAAAAAGGAAGAATACGATGGATTAGGATTACCGTGTGGCGTTGGAAAACATGAGAAAACGGTTCTAAATTCAAACTTTGTAACCGAAATGATAAACAACGTGAAATTCAGAGGAAAAAATGGAAACCGTTAATTTTTATTGATTATTATTTATTTAATAAAAATGTTGTCTGTTATTTGAAATTCTTTCTAACGGACAAATTTTTTTTTTTTCTTTTCACTTTTATTATGACTTTTTGTCCTTCTTTCTTCTACCTATGATTATTTGTTAGTGTTTTTTTAATAAATTTGTTATTCTGATTATTTATTGAAAAAAAGAGTTATGTCAAGACAATGTCAATCAATAACGACATTTCATGTTAATCAATAACGACAATATATTTTGCCAAATCAAATAAATTTTTTAAAATAATTTATATAATATGATAAAATAATATTTTTATTAGATTTACACTATCAATATCAATCATGTCCATTACACTCTTATTTATTTTATAGTGTTATATGCAGAAATTCTAGTTTTGTTCCTTGGTGTTTATTGATTTTTATCATTATTATTTTATTATAAGAGAAATATTATGTAAGACTAAAGTATAGTACTTTAATGAAAAATACATATTCCTTTTTGTTGCCTCTTAGCATTAATTAAGAATTTCAGATTTTGCACTTGGTTGGCCTTTATAAGTACTTTGAAGACTTTTTTTTTTAAATGAAAAAATATTAATTAACGAAGAATAATTGATGACTAGGTACAAGGAATAGGAACAAACATTGGTGATGAAATAGAAATCAAAGGTATTCCACGTTCAAAACTGGCCCACACACATTAACAAATTCTCATCGCTGTCTCATCTGTCTCTGCCAGATTGCCACTTAAAAATGAATTAACTAGTGCTACATTCAATCATAAATCACCATTTTGCAACTATCCGTATGTTATAGATCAATTAACTACTTATATAGAAAAGATAAAAAAAAAAAGAGAAACTTTATTATGATCAAAATGATTGTTAATTTACATGATATACCTTGGCCCAACTTTATACGAGGTTCAACTCAATTATACTGTTTAAGATCAGCTGATCGAATCTATCTTCGACTGTGTCGAGCAATAACTCACATTCTTCGAGAGGACACCGTCTCGTCATACAGGGATAAACTCAGGAAGTTGCGAGAAGGAGCATCGCCGGTCAAGAGGACTTCAAGAGTATCCTTCAGGCTTCTCCTCGAGCAAGAACGATCCTCCCAGACGGCCTCATGGCTGGCGGGGATCGTGCACGACAGGCAGAAGTATCCCACGAGCATCCTCCTCGTAGGGATGATTATCAACGCCTCTGAATATCACGGAGTCCACTTGACCCCGAAAAGACCGCGTCCATATCTTCCTGATCATGCAGAGGAATCCATCCAGGTAGGAGACCATATATAGGTCCCCACTACTCACGTAGAACCTGTCAGTCTCCACTTTGGGCTTGCTTGCCCAGCCCAATGAGGGGACCTTGGCCCAACGCTGAGGGCTATAAATACCCTCTCACTTGAGAGGGTCAGGTGTTGATCACTTCTTACTCACTCTTACTTGCTTGTATCATTTCGAATCTCACTTTGGCATCAGAGTGTCTTGCAGGTGCCTCTCCACCCCACTTTTAACTTCTACTCGACGTAGGCTATGACGGTCTATTCTGGTCAGGTACGATCAGTGACGCCATCTGTGGGAAACAAGCTTCTCCGTCTTTCACTTACCTAAGACAAAAGCAACTCCAAATTCTTGACTGTCATGACTGACCCAACTGTAGAAAACAACCTAAACGCTCATCCCGCTGGCCTCAACAACAGCGTTGGCGACAACAACGCCGACAACAACAACACTGGCAACACTGTCAATAATGCTGGTAATAACAACGCCGACCACACCATCAACATGCCCGACACTTCGCATAATTACAGAGACAGACTGACCACCTCCTCGTCGTCCCTGTCCCGTCGACTCGAAGACGATCATCGTCCTCCCCAAAACCATCAGCCAAACACGTTTCAGGAGGTCCCCGTCCCTGCGGGCGCTGATGCCACGACCAGGACTCTGTTCGTAACTATTAACCAAACAAATTACTTAATCTTCTCGCAATGTGAGAGATTAAGGGTGCTCAAAGATTCTCGAAGATCCCCCCACAAGACATAGGAGACATGACTCTCGTCCTCCCCGACAGATAGAGAACATCCTCAATCTCCCTCGCGGAGACGCAGACGGGATGCCTCACGAAGCCCCTCTCCCCGATGAACTGGGCGACACTCCGTGTTAGAGAGGAATCAGCCTGTTGATATAGGGAGACGTAACCACACCCCCCCGTGCCAAGAACTAAGACCCCCTAGAAACAAAAACAGGGGAAATGAAGAACCACAAACCCGATCGAGGGATCCTCCCCGCGACCAGGGCCTCCATCACGACCACCATTACTACAGGTCACCTTCTCGTTCTCCAGACATAAGCGATGAAGACGACCCCTGCGGTCCCCTATCCTAGGCAATCATGGAGGCACCCATTCCTCCGAGAATGGAGAAACCTCCCCAACTGAAGGAATACGATGACATTGCAGATCCAATCGACCACATTGATGGGTTCGAGGCAATGCTACATTATCATAACATCGGGGGACCGATCAAATGCCGGTTGTTCCCCACGATCTTGAGAAAGACTGCAATGTACTGGTACAAGAACCTCACCCTAGGATCGATCACCTCCTGAAGAAACTTAAAAAACCAGTTCATCAACTCATTCACACCCTCTCGTCGACATCCGAAGACTGAGGCCGCCCTTGAGGCTATCCTTCAAAGAAGCGACGAAACCCTCAGGGAGTTTATTGATTGGTTCAACCGCGAGGCCATTCAGGTCCCGTGCACTGATCGCATGAAGAGATACTTGCTCAAAAAAGGACTCCTCCCAGGCAAGAGTTCAAGAAGGCCGTTGGCATCTAACCACCCCGGACTTTCGATGCTCTCCTCGAGAAATCTAGGGCCTACATAGACTACGAGGAGAGGGAAGTGGCCAACAAAGCCCGTGACCCAAGGAACCGCGGACCAAACACCTCCCCGCGACACCAGGAAGCATGACTTCCTCGACGAACGTGTGAGAAGAGAAGGGACGACAAGCCCCGTGATCCCCGCGAGCACAGGGGTCCCGCAGGGAGATTCACTGAATACACTCTGTTGACCGCTTCCCGCGAGCGCATCCTAGTAGAGTGTTACACTATTGAATTCAATGACGGAGGAGTCAGACGTCCTCGACCTGCTCCCGCGAAGCCCGGGGTTGACTAGAGCAAATATTGTCAATACCACCGGAGCCACGAGCATCTGACTGAAGACTATGTCCATCTCAAAGACGCCATCAAATCCCTCATCAAGGGTGGCAGACTCGGGTAATATCGATGCAATGACGCCCCTCGTCAGGATGCCCGCAAGACAAAAGAGGTCGAGGAAGACACCCGACCATCGGATGAAACGGTAACCATCCAAATAGCCTTCTCCGTTACAAGGCCAGAGGACTTCTACATCCCCGACAAACACGAAGAAGAACCTCTGTCCATGCACAGTAGGTCGTAAAAATTCCCCTCCTCCATGGTTTTAACTGGCGGGGGGTTCAACGACATATCCATAAACTCCATAAAGAGGAATCTCGACGAGTTGGTCGACGCAGCCCCGACTCAAGCGGTGACATTCGAGAAGGTCAAGGGCAGATCAAAGCCAATCACGTTCTACCTCGAAGAGTTGCCCGGAGGGGCCCCTAACTTGAGTATCCCTCTTCTGGTAAGGGCAAGAATGGATAATTTCGACGTTCATTTCATCTTGGTCGACGAAGGGAGTTCCGTCGATGTTATGTACAACCATCTGTTTCGAACCTTGTAGCTCGAGCACACCCACCTTTCACCATACGTGTGGTCCGAACTACAAGGCTTTAATGACCCGACCTCCAAACCATGGGGGTATGTGGAGCTCTTCGTTACCTTCTGGGAGGAAACCGCCGCCCGGAAGGTCAAGGTGCAATTTCTGGTCATCGACTGCCTGTCTCTCTACAACTGCATCCTAGGGAGACCAACGCTGGAGGGGATGCGATGCCACCATCCACAACAACATCTCAGTTGCCCTAAGATGTTTCAATGCAACTTCAAAGGGACAGAGTACGGTCGACACCGGGCCCGACCTGCTAAAAGAGCTGCTACTACTCGACCTAAGCCACGGCCCGTCAAGATAGAAAAACAAAGAACTCCACCCAAGGTCGACTCCATCTTGCTAGACACCCGCTTCGACAAGGATGAAGCACCCAACGACGAACATGAACTCCTCTGACCAATATCAGATGAAGACTTTGAGTTCATCCCCCTCGGTGAAGACCCTCATAAAGGCATGAAGATGGACACCTGACTCCCCGACCTTGCAAGGAAGCAAATCAAAGCTTGCTTGACGGAGAATGCATACTTGTTCGCGTGGAGCGCTGCTGAGATGCCTGGACTCGACCCTGAGGTCGCCTGTCCCCACTTGGCCATTGATCCAACCGCTAGGGAAATAGTATAACATAGACGTAGGTAGTCTTCCGAGAAAGCAGAGGCTGCTGAAAATGCTGTAAAAGACCTCTTAGAGGCTAATTTTATTTCCAAGGCCCAGTACTCAACCTGACTCTCAAATGTTGTACTTGTTAAGAAAAATAATAGAAAATGGAGAATGTGTGTTGACTATACTAATCTTAGCCGGGCATATCCCAAATATGCTTTTTCTTTACCTAATATAGACATGCTGGTTGACAATTCGGCTGGCTATAAAATTTTATCATTTATGGACACCTACTCGAGCTATAACCAAATCCCAATAGCAATGAGCGACAAGCATTGTACTGCTTTCATTACC